GACCCTATTTTGAAATTGGAATATTTTGAACTTTGCGTTAAATTGGCCAAATTAACAATTTCCGATCACTTTAATTTGTAGTTGAAACAGTTGACTTGGCGATTTCTTGTGCTCAATTGATAGAATAGAAGTAATACTAGTGAAATAGCTAAAAATTTGGTTGACTGGAATAATGTAATTGGCCTAAAATGGGAATCAAAGTCGGCAAAATCGCCGATTCGTAAATATCGCTGACACATCAAAATTCGCGAGAGCATAATTTCGTCAATTTTCCATCAAATTTCATACTTTTTGTTTTATTACCTTCACAAAAAGATTCTCTACCATTTCAGATTTGGGCCTTGGACCCTGAAGGGGTTAAATGAGGTAAATTAATTTGATATACGAGTAAATTGAGCTACGCGCTAGCTCCTGGAATGGATTAAACTCGTAAGTCAAGGTTCCACTGTATAGTAATTTGGAATTTTATAATTCTTGAACACTGTTCTTTCAGGATTCATTAGACAGCTTTGGAAGACAATTTAGACAGCCTTAGAAAATATAATGGTTTCATAAATTTGATGATAATCAGACACTAGAAGTGCAATAGTTACATTTTTATTGTTATATAGGAATTTGAAATGCTTTTAATAGTTTTAAAAATGTTCTGATGCTCCAATGGTGTCAGAGAGGAAAAAGTGTATTAGTAAGATTTGTTGATGTTGCGCTTATTATTTTGTTTGCATGCATGGTACAATGACTTTTTATATTTTTATTGTTTGATGATTATTTTTTTTTACATTATTCATTTTTCAGGCTAAGAACTTTTGTCTTAGTTTATTTCCAAACCCAGTCCTATCTAAGGTATACTAACATCATCCCAGGATGCTGTTATCTTAGCTCATTTGAAAGTCCAGCCCTATCTAAGGTATACTAACATCACCCCAGGATGCTGTTATCTTAGCTAATTTGAAAGTCCAGTCCTATCTAAGGTATACCGCCTTTCTCAGGATGCTGTTATCCTGCTTTTATCCTACTTCAGTTCATTTCAAAACCCATTCCTATCTAAAATATACTATGCCCCCAAGATGCTATTACCCTACTTCATTTAATTTCAAAGCCCAGTCTTATTTAAAGTACAGTCTTTCCTCACTTAGCGACGTACTCGTTTACCAACAACGTGGAGTTATGACCGACTCTCTGACAAATCGGTATTGTATGCCTTACGAGAACTTGGGTCATGGAAATGGGCAGCACAGCATCTCAGCATCAAACATTTCAATCTCCTTCCTATAGTCACTCAGTACACTAGCTTTCACAGTCTCCAACACTACATATTTGTACAAATTTGTGCCTTTTTGTGCACCCCATAGTAAAAGATGGAGTTAGAAGTGCAGCAGTACTTGGAAGAGAAAAAACAAGAGGTAAATGGAAGAAGTACAAAAGTTCACTGTAAAGGGGTTAGCTGGTGTGTTCGTCTGTGTGTTTATATTCTTGGTGTCTCTCGTGGCATCTGAGAAGGTATGTTGATGGTAATAATAATAATAATAATAATAATAATAATAATTTCGGAAGAGCATAATTCCGTAAGTTTTTCTTCAGATTTCATACTTTTGGTTTCATTACTATAGGGAAAAGATTCTTATCATTTCATATGAAAAAATAATTTTTTTTTTTAAATTCTTCGACACTGAGAACAAGTTTGCAAGCAGGGGTCTCGACAGTTAAAGGGTTATATGTCATATAAGTATGTATTTCATATAGGTTTGGTAGCTGACATTTAAAGCACTCCAGAGTGATTGTAATTATTTATTATTATTAATAATAGTAATAATAATAATAACAACAGTCACTCTGGAGTGCTTTAACCCTTAAACGGTCCAAACAGATCGACGTTCAAATTCATAGTGCTACAAAAGTAGATCTACTTTTTTTTACATATTTTCAAATATAACAAAAAAATAATGTAGATAAAAGTTTTTTTTACACGTTTTCAAATGTAAGACAAAAAAGATCTACATTTTTTACATACTTTCAGATGTTGAAAAAACGTATATATACGTTTGGACCGTTTAAGGGTTAAATGTGAATTACCAAACCTATATGAAATACGTACTTATATGACATTTAACCCTTTAACCCTTTCAGGGTCCTCAGGCCCTCTCCCAGACTTGTTCTCAGGGTCACCCAAATTTCAAAAAAAAAAAATTATTTATTCTTATGAAAAGATAGAGAATCTTTTCCGGATCATAATGACACCAAAAGTATGAAATTTGATGGAAAACTCACGGAATTATGCTCTCGCGAAGTTAGCGGTCTCGACGATGTTTATGCATCGGCGATTTTGCCCACTTTGAGCCCTATTTTCGGCCAATCGAAGTGTACTAGTTGACAAAAATCATAACAATTTCGCTAGAACTCCATTTTTTCTATCGAATGAGTGCAAGAAACCACCCATTTATCGATTTCAACTATCCAATACAGTGGTCAGAATTTAGCAACTTTGCCAATTTCACACAAATTTCAAAAGATGCCAATTTCCAAATAGGGTCCAGAATAAACAAGAAAGACATTCCTGGCACTAAAATTACATTTCCTCTGTTCATTAGTCACATCCCCATGCCCCTCTTACATTTACTGTTATGCAGACTACTGCATTAGTGTAGAAATGGTATAAATAATATCAGCACACTTGTGAAAGAATATTAGACTCACCAGTTGATGTGTATTGGATGCTTGGCATGATTTGTTTACTTTCGAACTTCGGCAAAAATCGAACATTTCTGCTACTTTGAATTCAATTTCAAGGTACTTTTCATTGTAAAACCAGTCAAAATTATCTCAGTTTCTGTAATATGTCTTCCATTTTATAAAATGAGACCAGGAAAACTAGAATACAACAATAAATACCATACGAAAATACAGAGCAAAGTCGCTGTTTTAATCCAAAAAACACGGTCAGAGTTTTTTTTCTCATTACGCACTGTGTGCTGCAGGATTTTTTTTTATACTGCGCACACTGACCACATAGACCCATTCTTTCATATGTAGGCCTACCAGCTTTCTCTCACTAGATTTGAGGGCGCTAGAATTTAGGCATACTAGTACGTCAAGAACCCTGGTGCATAAGCCGTACTAGTACGTCTGAAACCCTGAAAGGGTTAAGTGTCGAGACCCCTGCTTGCAAACTTGTTCTCAGTGTCGAGGAATTTAAAAAAAAAAAATATTTTTTCATATGAAATCATAAAGAATCTTTTCCCAATAGTAATGAAACCAAAAGTATGAAATTTGAAGGAAAACTTAAGGAATTACGCTTTTCCGAAGTTAGTGGTCTCGGCAGTATTTACGCACTGACAATTTCGCCAACTTTGAGCCCTACTTTGGGCCAATTCCAATGTTCCAGTCAACTATATTCATAGCTATTTTGCGAGCACTCCTTTTGTTCTATTGACTGAGTACAAGACACTGCCCATTTACCTATTTCAAACTCCAGTAAAGTGATCACAAATTGGTAATTTTGCCAATTTCATACATTTACAGATGAAATATGTAGTGTTGGAGATTGTTTGATGCTGAGATGCATTACTAACCCCTTTTCAGTAACTTTTGTACTTTTTCTGTTCTTTGCTCTTTTTCTTCTTTCTTCAATAAATATTCGCCTCTCACCCTACATTAAGACTACAAATATTTTAAGGTAAGTAATGAGTGTACTGTATGTGTATTTTACTTACTTATTGTTTTTTGTATTATGTAAGAGTAACAGCCTGGTTGATCAAGCCCTGATCCACCATGAGGCCTGGTCACAGACCGGGCCATGGGGGCATTGACCCCTGGAACCCTCTCCAGGTAAATTCCAGGTATGCAAATTAAAACAAAGTTATCAAGTTCAAGTTTTCTTTTTATTGTTTTTTTTTAATATATTTAATTCACCATTTGGCATGGGTACAAAGTGGGTGGAACTATAGTAGAGGGAGATAGAGCTAGCAGAGCGTCTCAGTAATTGATGATTCACCATGGCACATGGAGGTGTGCCTCACGGCACTATAAGATATTGTATAATTATACTATTACTATCAGTTAAGGTTATATTTATTCCCATGGGGAAGTGGAACAGAATTCTTCCTCCGTAAGCCATGCGTGTTGTAAGAGGTGACTAAAATGCCGGGAGCAAGGGGCTAGTAACCCCTTCTCCCGTATAAATTACTAAATTTAAAAGAGAAACTTTCGTTTTTCTTTTTGGGCCACCCTGCCTTGGTGGGATACGGCCGGTGTGTTGAAAGAAGAAAGATTAGGTATTACATAAATAACGTAGAAGCATGTTAAAGATGCCCAGATTTCTAAAAACTGACATTATATGGAGAGATATAGGAGTGGTGGGCAGCAAGGGATAAAAAAAAAAAAAGTGACTGCATCCATTACAGAAAACATTATGTGCCTGAAGGGTAACTATAAAAGATCACTCTTATTGTATACAAAAACTAAAAAAAGAGCAATTTTCTCGAAAAGAAATTCCCAAGCCCGTTGTATTATTGTTAATAACGAACAGATTGAAAGGATTTTCACAGGAAACATAAAACAGTGAATGTTTTAATTTTGGGTGGTGATATTTTTGAGGTGTTGGTAAAGGGTGGTTCCTCACTTAGGTACGAATTTGTTTACTGATGTGGTCATAGGAACAGAACCCCGTTGTTAAGTGAGGAGAGGCTGTATATATTCCAAGTTGCCGTTATCCTGCTTTAGTTTATTTCAAAACCCAGTCTTCTTTAAGGTATGCTAGCACCCCTTATCCTGATTCCTGTCTATCACTAGGTGAAGAGAGGCAACTAATACAGTGTAAGGAGATATTCTCAGGATTGAACCTGGGTCCTCTGGTTGGGAGTTGAAGTCACTACACTGAGCTGTAAGCCACTTCTTAAGCGCTGTGAAATATATGTGTGATCAGTTTTTAAGAGTGTTTCTACTCTTGAAAACTTACCTAAGATTAGTAGGTCAGTTCTTTTCATGTAATGTAATGTATTTAGGGAGATTGGTGAGTGTTTTGATAAGCTGGCTGATGACCCAGACTGCCGAGCTGTGGTGCTTAGTGCAGCTGGTAAGATGTTTAGCAGCGGAATTGACTTCAACGATTTGGCAGAGATTGGGGGCATCGTTTCGAGCGATGATGATGTTGCACGAAAAGGCCGTGCATTACACAAGCTGATAATAAAGTATCAAGAGTCTTTCACTTCCATGGAGAAGGTAGGCTTTTTCATTATAGTTAATCTTTGCTAAGTTTATTTGGTGTTTAAGATTTTGAAAGCTTATGAAATGCTTCTTGTTAAGTAGTTTGTGTTATTTCTGTAGTTAGGGTCCACGAACTAGCTTAGGAATAGTACCCTGTTGGTATAACTCCTACATGACCAGTTAAGGATTCTTAACCCATTAACCCTTTGAGGGTCGAGACCCCTGCTTGCAAACTTCCCCCCAGGGTCATAGAATCCCCCCCCCCCAAAAAAAAAAAAAAATTATGGAATGATAGAGAATCTTTTTCCAAAGGTATTGAAACCAAAAGCGATGTTAGCGGTCTCAGCGATATTTATACATTGGCAATTTTGCCCACTTTGAGCCCTATTTTGGGCCAATTCGATTGCCCCAGTCGACCAGACTTATAACTGTTTAGCTGGAACTCCTTTTATTCTATCAACTGAGTACAAGAAACTGCCCATTTACCTATTTCAACTACCCAATAAAGTGATCAGAAATTACTAATTTGGCCAATTTCTGTGGAGAACTGGTTAGATAAGTACACTTTTCTGCATGAAACGACATATAGCAGTTGGTACTTATCTGTTAACAGCATGATGTCCAGCAGCCTCTCCCTGGACATTCCTTTGGGGTGCCATCCCAGAGTCCACAGTGGCTGTGGATTAACAAGTTTGTTAGTCATATAATTTGCCCCAAAGGAGTGTATATCTCAGCATTTCATTATCATCTGAAATGCATAGTGATACTTAGGTAGTTTTGGGTGAATCACCCACACATTTCAGGATCTACTGGTAATTCCAGTCAAATCTCACCCCTACCTATTAGCTGCAGCTAATGTAATTAGGTGTGGGTATAGCTGGACTTACCTGGGTATTGTAACTGACCCAATTTACCCTACTTTGTTGTAGGGGAAGTATGACTCCAGTATTGATGTCTTGAGTAAGCTGCTACAGATGAGTAGTTATATAATGTCCTCACTCATTGATAGGGAGTCACTTTGGTCAGTTTTTATGCAATAGGGTGATATCTTGTCCCTTTGTTCATAACACCTGAATTCATACTGCAACACAAACTTTACACTTATTGGGATTATACCCTGGATGATATACTCGTGTTTCTTTTTAACACTAGTTTTCAGAGTTTACCACACAAAGTCAGTATTTTCTTTGTTCTTAGCGGGATATTTGTGATGCGTGCACACTCGGATATCTGAATTCAACCTAGCTTGTCGCCCTGCCCAGAGCCCGCAAGTCGCTCTCTGTACAAAAGAATTTCTGAGTTCAGCTTTATATCTCTTTCTTACTACACATTGCAACAATATTCAATACAAGAAGGTAGGTATCTTGTTATCTTGCTATAGACCAGACTTGCTAATAGTCCCAACTTGTAGATAAAGTAAGGCACAGGTTTTCCATTAATTTTCCAGCTAAAGAGAAAAGAGTAATTACTCTTATTTAACCTCATTGTGCAGTTGATCATGAACTCTAGCAAGGAGAGGAAGGTGTGCCTTGTAACACTATGGTACATACATGTGCTCCTCATAAAGCTGTTTGCAAGGAAGGAAGAGTTCACTAGCCCCTTCTGGGAGGGCTAAGTCCCTATTTCAAAATAGGGTCCATAATAAATAATGTAGACATTCCTGGAAATAAAATAACATTTTCTATGTTCATTAGTCATGTCTCCAGGTCCCTCTTACATTATGCTTGCTTTTCATTTTGATTTTTTATTCTCACAAAAAAATAGAAGATTTACTGTTATGTAGACCACTGCATTATTTTAAAAATGGTATAAATAATATCAGTGCATTTGTGAGTACATAGTAGACTGACCAATTGACATATATTGGACACATGATGTGTTTTGTTTACTCTTGAACACTGACAAAAATCAAACATTTTGGCTACTTTGAGCTCAATTTCAAGTTACTTTTAGTCTGTAAACCATTCAAAATCATCTATATTTCTGTAATAAATCTTCCATTCTGTCAAATGAAACCACTAGAGTACAACCATAAAAAACATATGAAAATACACTGCAAAGTCGCTGTTTTACAGCAAAAACATGGTCGCAATTTTTTCCCTCATGCACTGCATGCCGCAGGATTTTTTTTTATACCGTGCCCACTGACCATGTAGGCCTACCAGCTTTCTCCTGCAAGATTGGAAGCTGCTAGAATTTTGGGTCAGTATTACAGGACTGACCCCAGCTTCAAAGCCATAATATTATGGGACCGACCCTGAGAGGGTTAACTCTCCAGACATTGATCTATGTTTCCACTTCTAGCACTTTAAATATTTTGAAAGAAATTTTTTTTTTTTTTTTTTTTTTTTTTTTTGTAACCCTTAACCTGTTTACTGTCCAAATGTAGATCCACGTTGTTACCTCACTAGCACATGTAGATCATTTTATTTTCCTGCCTCCAAATTTGGCATGATTTCCCTGAAATACCTGGTTAGTGTAGAATGGGTTTTAACACTCATGTGTGCAGTATTAAAAAAAATCTGAGACCACTTAGTACAGTGGACCCTCAGTTAATGATATTAATCCATTTCAGAGAGCTTGTCCTTAACCAATTTTATCATTATCTGAATTAATTTTCCCCATAAGAAATAATGGAAATACAATTAATCCATTCCAGACACCCAAACGTATTAAAAAAAAAAAATTCACATGAAATATACATTTTCTTACACAGAAAACAATGAGACAGACAGAATAAATATGTACATACATTAATAATTTACAAAAGACACTTACCTTTATTGAAGACTTAGTGATGAGACGGGAGGAGAGGAGAGGATGGAGGTGTATTATTGTTTGGAAGGGGAATCCCCTTCCATAAGGACTTTAGGTAGCAAGTCCGTTTCCAGGGTTACCTCCCTTCTTTGTTTTTTAATGCCACAAGGACCAGCTTGATAGTCACTGGACCCCTGTTGCACCAAAAATCAGTCCAGAGAGCTCTGTTTCTGTTGTGTCTTTAAGATTTCCCTAAAATGGGATACAATATTGTCATTATAAAAGTCACCAGCATGGCTTGCAACAGCTGTATCAGGGTGTTGTTCATCCATAAAGGCTTGCACTTTTGTCCACGTTGTACAAATGTCCTTAATCGTTGAAAGAAGGCAGCTTCCTCCATCTCTCTTCCCCCTCCTCTGAAGCAATTTCCTCAGCTGTGGTCTATTGCTGTTGCAGATGCTCTTGCAGCTCATCAGTGGTTAGCTCTTCATCGTCGTCTTCTACCAACTCCTCCACATCCTTGCCACTAACCTCCAACCCCATGGACTTTCCCAATGACACAATAGATTCCACAACTGGTATAGGCTCCTCAGGGTTAACCCCAAACCCTTCAAAATCCCTCTCTTGTACACATTGTGGCCACAATTTTCTCCAAGCAGAGTTCAAAGTCCTGCAAGTCACTCCCTCCCAAGCCTTACCTATAAGGTTTATGCAACTGAGGATACTGAAGTGATCTTTCCACAACTCCCTTAGAGTCAATTCAGTGTCTGAGGTCACTTCAAAGCACTTTTGAAACTGCTTTGGTGTACAGTTTTTTGAAATTTGAAGTGACCTGCTGGTCCATGGGCTGGAGGAGAGGAGTGGTGTTAGGAGGCAAAAACTTGACTTATGAAACTAAAATCCCCCACAATTCGCTCTTGCAAGTCTGGAGGATGAGCAGGAGCATTGTCTAATACCAGGAGGCACTTGAGTTCCAATTTATTTTCCAGGAGGTGTTTTTTTCACAATGGGGCAAAACACTTGATGAAACCAATTGTGGAAAATGTCCCTAGTGACCCATGCCTTACTGTTTGCCCTCCACATCACACACAAATTAGGCTTGACAACACTGTTTTTCTTGAACACACTGGGAGTTTCAGAGTGATACACCAGTAAAGGCTTCACTTTGCAATCCCCACTAGCATTACTACAAAACATGAGAGTTACACTGTCTTTCATAGGCTTGTGTCCTGGGTAATGTAGGTCCTGTTTGGCATTTTCTTCCAAAACAGTCCTGTTTTGTCACAATTGAACACTTGTTGGGGTTTTAATTTTTCAGCCTCTATGTACCCCTTAAAGTCCTGCACATATTTTTCAGCCACTTTTTTGTCAGAACTGGCAGCCTCACCATGCCTTATCACACTGTATATGTCACTACGATTCTTAAATCTCTCAAACCAACCTTTGCTGGCCTTAAATTCACCAATATGAGCACTAGTTCCAGGCATTTTCTTAATGAGATCATCATGCAGCTGCCTTGCCTTTTCTCATATAATTGACTGTGAAACACTATCTTCTGATAATTGTTTCTCATTGATCCACACCAACAACAGTCTCTCCACATCTTCGAGTATTTGCGATCTCTGTTTTGTAAGCACATTTGCACCTTTCTCAACAACAGCTTCCTTGATTGCCTTTTTGTTGGCCAAGATAGTAGCAATGGTTGATTGGGGTTTATTATACAACCTGGCCAGCTCGGAGGCACGCACTCCACTTTTTTACTTTGCGATTATCTCTGTCTTCCAATCAATAGTATTTCTCACCCTTTTTACCACAGGGTTGGCACTAGAAGCTTTCTTTGGGCCCATGGTGGCTTATTAAGGAGTTACAAGCACTAAAAACGATGGAATAATACAAAATGTATTGCATGGAGTGACACTCGTCTTACACCGTGCTTCAAGGAGTTTCATATATACCCCAGCATGTCTAAAACATTGCTGGGGCCTATAAATATTTTGTATATATTTTTAGACAATAGTATGTGACCAAGGCAGGTGAAAATGTTCACCTGTCAGTGTGTTTGTGACTACAGTAGGGCCCCACTTATATGGCAGGTTAGGTTCCAGGCTACTACCAGAAAGCAGACATCACCGGAAAGCAGAACACCATTTTTTCCACTTTTAAATGCATATAAATGCCAGGTAACAAGGCAATAGAACTAGGCATTAAAAACAATAAAAAGTAAAATACACACACAGTACACTCATTACTTACCTTAA